AGCATACATTTTCTGTTTAGAAGATTTGTCTTCAAATAGTGAGATAAAACCACTAATGCCTCTAATCCGTAAGCAATGTCAAGAAAGCTATGTCTCATCTTGGCTTTGTGTACAGGTCTTATCTTCCTCTAAACTTCCAGAGGTCAGAGTCCATGTTCATTTCTTATGATATCACCCACAAGGCTTAACACAATGCAAACAAACGTATTTGTTGAATAAACAAATGAATAAGAGAATAAATAATACACTACAAAAGCTTGTTCAGTTATTAACCAAAAAATGGCAGGAAAACATTGAAGCATTTTATAAAATTAATACAGAAAATCCATATAATATAAAATAATTTAAACAACTGAGATGTATGATATTTGAGTAGACGTGTAATGATGTGTCAGCTGTTGTGGAGGAAATGGCAGTGCAAATACCACTTTTTAAAGGACAAAAAACACATTTTGTCAGATTATACAATCAACACAAAAATCATTCAGCAAACAACAGAACAGAACACAGCCTGAATGTTTTCAAAGGAAAACAACTTAGTAAGCAATTTGGAGTTAGGACTCAGTGTTGTAATTGGCAAATCTCTGTGAAGGGGAACTGAGATAAGGGTTATTGGTCAGAAAGATAATAGAAATTAAGCATAAGAAAGAATGTGTACACAAGGAGGAAATGGAAGTAGTGGGCTTAGTGACCTGGTGTACACTTCCAGAGAATGTGACTTACGGAGAAGTAGACCATGTTTCGAATAGGAGATGACAAGAGAATCTACCTAATGGATTTGTTGTGAGGATTAAATGAGTTAATACATGCAAAACTCAGTGTTTGGCATGTCGTGATCACTATATGAGGGTTAGATGCCAGCTCTTTTCTTCTCCTAATGGAACTTTCCTCATCTTCTGGTCCTTCTTGACAAGGCTGCCGAGTACAGTTGGTCAGGTTGCACATTGTGGCCTGCATGTGGCCCTACTTCAAAATCCTCTGTCAGTTTCTTGCTTTGCACCTCAATTTACTATCTAGAATGTATGACAGTGACAGGCTTCTAAGTCCTAAATAATCTTTCTGGACTAAGCCACACATAGGTTTTAAAACCAGAGACCAGTGTTTCCCAACAGTGAATCATGAAACCCTGTACTTAAAATCCATTTAATTGTTTTAACCTGATTATAAAAAATTTTTTTTTAAAGAATAGTCACCTTTATTGAGTGCATACTCTGTGCCAGACACTGTGCTCTGCATGTGGTCTTATTTTATTCTCCCACCAGTCCTGCTAGTGGGGGTGAGAGGACAAAGACATAAAGGGCTTGTTCAAGTTTATACAGTTAGCAACTGGCAGAAAGAGGACTTGAACCGAGGTGTGTCTACCATAGAATTCCATCCTGCCATGCCACACTGTCTCCTATAAAGGAAGGCAAACATATATGCAAAGGTTAATATAGTAAGTATTTCTCTTCAGTGTCTCATTTACACATAAAAATTAAACTAACTGGTTGCTTTCATAAAACTCATGGCAATTAGCCAAGTATTTCTTTTTGATTACAGAGGACCAATTTAATGAAAAGAAATGACTAAATCTGTTAGTTGGGAAGAGTGTGGAACAGGAGAAGCTAAGATAGAGATGTGACGTTGGCTCCCATAATTTTAGAAGCTGGATTCTTGGCTCATTTTTAAAATCTGTAATTATATAATATAGTGAACAGTAAATGACAAGCCACCTTTTGCCTCCAAGTGATTCCAATTCTATTTATAAAGTCTGAGTGATAGTTGAAGGGTTTAGGAAAGCTTTAAGATTAAGCAAACTCTAGAAGGGTAAAATGCTGGATTTCAAACTTCCAAATGAAAGAGGTTCTTGACCCCTTCACCCTGCTTCAACCAGAGTGGTCCTCTTTTATCTGTTATATATTGGGCTTTTGTGTAAGCTTTCCTTTGGAAAAAGTCTTTGCATGAACAGAAGGCCATTTTCTGCAGTGTAGATTCCACTTGTATCAAGATTTACTTAGGTTTTCTGTGGCACAGCATGCAAAAATGCTCTTTATTTGCTGCCACCAGAGCCCGAAGCAAAATAGCAAACTTGGAAAACTGTATTTATCTCTCCACCCAGCAAGTGCCCGGGGCTGCCATGCTCTCCAGGCTTCCCCATACACGTGTGCAGGTTGTACACGGCACCACTTAGAGAGTGCCAGTCTCATCCGTCTTTATTACAGTCATGTTCCTGCTGATCACAGTGAAGGGTCTTGAGGAAGAGGCACCTTTTGAGCTGCATGCTTCCCTCCAACTGTCCAAGGCCCTCACCAATAACAGGTCAGGCCTATCTCTTCTGAAATGAATCCCTGAAAACCCTTCTTCCTCACAACTTTGCATTACTATTATTATTGATATAAAAATACAGATAACACAACATTTGCCTATTCAGCATTTTTCAGGTGTACAATAACTGCAGGAGATTAAAACTCCCAGCGGTTTTTGCATTTTAAAAGAAGCATTTGCTAATCCAAATAAAACTAATGTGTAGAGTAAGTAGAGATGAGTCTGAGCCAGGAGGCATTTCATTCCTGATGCCGTTTGTCTACTCCAGGCTCTCAGTACCCCAGGTGGTAGCCACATGCAAGTAGAAACAAGCCACAGCTGAGCCCCCTTCTTTTAAAGGACTGCCAAGCCCTGGCCTCAGTACAGTTCTAGACTCATCAAGTTGGATTTTGTGTCTGTAACAGATTGAAACAGTGACTTGTTCAGTGGAGGGGGTAGGAGAAGGAGAGCAGGATTCCCAAAGCAGTTTTACTTATTTCATTATAAGGCTTTTATGTACTCTACCTTATATTCCAGTAATTTATATAACTTTCTTTCTCCAGCTTCCAGATTGTAAGCTCCTTTGGAGCAAAGTCTCTAACTTTAACCTTCTCCAGTGAGTGCTGAACTTAGGTCCAGACTGGATAGAAATTACCTAGGGTCACATGACTTGTTAATGTCAGAACCAGGAGTAGAACTCAAGTTTTCTCATGCTGTTTACAAATTTAGTGTTCTTTCTATTCTACCACTATTTTAGTTATCTGTTGCTATGTAACAAATCACACCAAAATTTAGTACCTTAAAACAAGGCTTGTTTCTCACAGTTCTCTGGGTCAAAAATTTGGGCAGGGCTCGACTGAGCTGTTCTTTGTTCCACATGGTCTTCACTATGGTCTCTCACTTGGCTAGCTTCAGCTAGGTTGAGCTGGAAGGTTCAGGAAGGCTTCATTCACACGTCTAGCACCACTTCTGTGGTCTCTTTCTCTATATATGATCTCTCCTCTCTTTCAGTATTCTAGCCAGAACTTTATAACATGACAACTGTCTTCCTCTGTTGAAAGCAGAAGTTGGCATGCCTCTTAAACTGGCCTCAAACTGGCATGGCTCAACTTCTGCTACATTCTCTGAATAAAGGCAAGACACAAGGCCAGCCCAGATTCAAGGGGAGGGGAAATAGACTCCACCTCATGATGAGTCAAGTAACATGCATGGTCAGGAGGGAAGGAATTGATGGTGGCCATCTTTGGAGACTAACCACAGCCATAGTTAACCCACAGATGTAGCCTTCTTCTTCTGATTCCTACAGTGTCCTAATAGAATAGGAAAACTCAAACCTGTGCAGAAAGAAAGGTGAGAAAGGAGAAGAAAAATGCCCTGAACACCCCTATCCTTTTCCACTTTGCTGCCGCCTGAAGGATGAGGAAGGTGACACCACCTATACCCAAAGTCCCCTATAAATATCCTGCAGCTGGGCTTTTCCTGGTGACATCTGGTCCTTATTTGAGCATCAGAAGATAGGTTGCTGTGTTTTATAGCATACAAGAAGAATGTGGTTAACACGTGTATGATTCTACAGTGGGGTTTTCACAATGATTTTTTTTTTTTTAAGATCTGCTGCTATATGTGTTTTCTGTGTCAAGCACTTAAATGCACACTCATAAGGGCTGGTTCTCCAGGCAACACTTTTAAAACAATACTTTTCAGCCCTGCATGTGTGTGTTGTTAAAATGGAATACATCTACAAGTAACCTTTTCAACTATTATATTTCCATCTGTAAGCGAAAGTATACTCGTCCTCTAAGAAAAAGGATACTTCAACGGATTCTTCTTCCATTCTTTTCAACCAGTGGTTGTTAAGTGAAAGGACAAGCATTTAAGACTGGAAAATCAGTTCTCTAGCCTATCCCAGCCCTGGCAATATCCTTTCTTTGTATTCAACCTAACTTGGTTTAAAATATCCTAAATTATGGAGATTATTCTCTCTGAGAAAAACTCCCATAATTGTCTAAATTTCCTTAGGAGTTTTTTGTATGTGGTATTTTTTTCTTTTAAAAAAGACTTTATCCTTTTGTTACAGTTAGATTATCGTTTGCCATTTAGATAATTACTCAACCCGGACTAGTCTGTCTTAGAAACAAACAAATATATAAAATAGTCTAGTGTCATATCAAGAGAGAACATATAAGAACAGCTATTTATTGGCTGCTGGTGCAAAACTTTTCCAAGTGCTTGGGGAAATCTCACATTTTAAGAGATTGTTTCATTGTTTAGAAAATGTTGAGATTTGCCTTATACGAATGGAAATCTTTGGTTTCCCAAATGTGTGGGAGAGAAAATAATGTTTTTGTACGAGCTGCCTAGGAAGTATAGTCCACTGAAATCCCATTTATTCTTCCAATTTGTGTTGCTCAATATTTATTGAAGTATTTTATGTACTTTTTATACAAGGTTATATCTGTAGACACTGCTATCATTTAATTAAGAAAAGTCCAGACTTTTTAAAACTTCCCTTTGACCCTTTCTCTGTTTTGTTAGTGGTGGCAATAAAGAGTTTATTTTTATTTGCTGGGTTTTTTTTTTTTTTTTTTTTTTTGTTGTTGTCTAAGGCTGAAAAGAGATTGCGCCTCTCTAAAATAGTTCAGATCACTTGAGGGACTTTAGGGATTTTATTTGAATATATTTTTTTAAATTTCTATATCTTTACCCCTTCGTTTTAGGAAGAAGAACTAGAAGCCCAAATTTCCTTCCTTCAAGGACAGTTAAATGACCTGGATGCAATGTGCAAATACTGTGCAAAGGTGATGAACACTCATCTTGGTGAGTGAAGTATTTTGGCTTTGGGAATAATGACGGTTGTAACGAGAATAATTATAGTCGTAACAATGATAACCACTAGCATTGCTGCAGGGTAAGCCCTGTGTTACATGAATTACCTCATTTAATCCTCATCACAGTCCTAGCGCAGAAGTACTATTTACTGTATTTCTATCCACATTGTACAGATGAGGAAACTGAAGCCCAAAGAGATTAAGAAAATTTCCCAAGACTATGTTACTAGTAAGTGGAGTGGAAATTCCAACTCAAGCAATCTGACTATAGACCTCAACTCTTTTATTTATTTATTTATTTATTTATTGTGCTTTAGGTGAAAGTTTACAGAGCATATTAGTTTCTCATTCAACAATTTATGCACAGATTGTTTTGTGACATTGGTTGTAATCCTCGCAATGTGTCAACACTCTCCCCCTCTCCACCCTAGATTCTCCGTTTCCATTCCTCCTGTTTTCCTGTCCCTTCCTGCGTTCTCATCTTTGCTTTTGGGCACATGTTGCTTCTTTGTCTCATTTACATGGTAGAACTAAGAAACACGTTCCTCACGTGTATTATTGATTGTTTTATACACTTGTGTAATCTTTGGCTGAAGGGTGAACTTCAAGAGTGACTTCATTTCTGAGTTACAAGAATGTCTAGAGGCCATAATCTTGGGGTTTCTCCAGTCTGTGTCAGACCAGTTTAAGTCTGGTCTTTTTTGTGTGTGAATTTGCATTTTGTTCTACATTTTTCTCCTGTTCTGTCTAAGACCCTCTGTTGTGATCCCTGTCAGAGCAGTCGGTGGTGGTAGCCAGGCACCACCTAGTTGTTCTGGGCTCAGGCTGGTGGAGGCTGTGGTACTTGTGGTCCATTAGTCTTTGGACTAACATTTCCCTTGTGTCTCTGGTTTTCTTCATCCTCCTTTGCTCCGGACAGGATAGAACAGTAGATGTATCTTAGACACTCGCAAGCTTTTAAGACCCCAGACGTACTCACCAAAGTTGAATGTAGAACTTTTTTTTTTTTGTGAACTATGTTATGCCAATTGACCTAGATGTTCCCCGAGACCACGGTCCCCAGCCCTCAGCCCAGCAATCTTGGTCCCTCAGGGTGTTTGGATGTGTCTATGAAGCTTCTATGACTTTGCCTTGGTCACGTTGTATGGACTTCCCCTGAAATATGTACTGTCTTTCCATTCAACAAAGTTACCACTTACCTACTTCCAGTTAGTGATTTCCCTTCCCCCATCTTCCCCTCCCTTGTAGCCATCACAGATTGTTTCTACTATCATGTTTCTTTCTGTGTGTAAACCTTTTCTTGAGTTTTTATAATAGTGGTCTCATGCAGTATTCGTCCTTTTGTGATTGACTTATTTCACTCGGCATAATGCCCTCCAGATTCATGCACGTTGTGAGATGCTTCTCGAATTCATCATTGTTCTTTGTCATCGTGCGTACGTACCATAATTTGTTCATCCATTCATCTATTGATAGGCACTTTGGTTGTTTCCATATTTTTGCTATTATGAACAATGCTGCAATGAACATGAGTGTGCATATGTCTATTCATGTGATGGCTCTTATTTCTCTAGGGTATATTCCTAGGAGTGGGATTGCTGGATCATATGGTATTTCTATTTCTAGCTTTTTAAGAAAGCGCCATATCGTTTTCCATAGTGGTTGTACCATTTTGCATTCCCACCATCAGTGCACAAGAGTTCCAATCTCCCCACAGCCTCTCCAACATTTGTTATTTTGTGTTTTTTTTATTAGTGCCAGTATTGTTGAGGTGAGGTGGTATCTCACTGTGGTTTTGATTTGCATCTCTAAAGGCTAATGATCGTGAGCATTCATTCCCTCATGTATTTGTTAGCTACCTGAATGTCTTCTTTGGTGAGTGTCTGTTCATATCTTTTGTCCACTTTTTAATTGGGTTATTTGTCTTTTTATTGTTGCTATAGATTTTAGAAATTAGACCCTTGTCAGATATGTTGTAGCCAAAATTTTTTTTCCCAGTCTGTAAGTTCTCCTTTTATTCTTTTGCTGAATTCTTTTGATAAGCGTAAGTGTTTAATTTTTAGGAGATCCCAGTTATCTATTTTATCTTCTGGTGTTTGTGCATTGTTAGTTTGTATCCTAATTATGCCGTGTATTAGGGCCCCTAGGTTTGTCCCTATATTTTCTTCCATGATCTTTATAGTTTTCAGTTTTATATTTAGGTCTTTGATCCATTTTGAGTTAGCTTTTGTGTATGGTGTGAAGTATAGGTCCTGTTTCATTTTTTTACAAATAGACATTCAGTTTTGCCAGCACCATTTGTTAAAGAGACTGTCTTTTCCCCATTTAAGGAGTTTGGGCCTTTGTCAAAGACCAGCTTACTATAGGTGGATGGATTTTCATCTGGGTTCTCAATTCTGTTCCATTGGTCTATGTGTCTGTCATTGTGCTAGTACCAGGCTGTTTTGACTACCATGGCTGTATAGTAGCTTCTGAGATCAGGTAGTGCGAGGCCTACTACTTTGTACTTCTTCAATAATGATTTACTTATCCGGGGCCTCTTTCCTTTCTACATAAAGTTATTGATTAGTTTTTCCATCTGGTTAAAGAATGCTGTCAGTGTTTGAATCGGGAATGCATTCTATCTGGAGATCCCTTTGGGTAGAATTGACATTTTTACAATGTTGAGTCTTCCTGTTCGTGAGCATGATATGTTTTTCTATTGATGTAGGTCTGTTTTCCTTTCTTGCAGTAGTGTTTTGTAGTTTCCTTTATGTAAGTCTTTTACATCCCTGATTAGATTTATTACTAATTATTCTATTTTATTAAGTGCTATTATAAATGGTATTGTTTTCCTGATTTACTTTTTGTAATTCTCTTTGTTGGTCTATAGGAATCCAGCTGATTTTTGTATGTTGATCTTGTATCTTGCTACTCTGCTGAATCTTTACATTAACTCCAGCAGTTTTCTTATGGAATTTTTAGAGTTTTCTATGTATAGTATCATATTGTCTGCAAATAAGGATCGTTTTACTTCTTCCTTATCCATTTGGGTGCCCTTTATTTCTTTTTCTTGCCTTATTACTCTAGCTAGAACTTTTAGCACAGTGTTAAATACAAGTGGTGATAAGGGGCATCCTTGTCTTGTTCTCGTTCTCAGGAGGAATGCTTTCAGCATCTCTCCCTTTAGAATGATGTTGGCTGTTGATTTTGTATAGATGCCTTTTATTATGTTGAGGAATTTCCCATCTATTCCTATTTTATTGAGAGTTTTTATCAGGAATGGGTGTTGGACTTCATCAAATGGCTTTTCTGCATCGATTGAGTTGATCATGTGATTCTTTTCTTTTGTTCTATTTATGTAGTCAATTATGTTGATTGATTTTCTAATGTTGAACCATCCTTGCATACCTAGTATGAATCCCACCTGGTCATGGTGTATTATTTTTTTGATATGATGCTGAATTCTGCTGGCTAGAATATTGTTGAGAATTTTTGCATCTGTATTCATGAAGAATATTGGTGTGCAATTTTTTGTGGGGGGGGGGTGTCTTTGCCTGGCTTTGGTATTAGGGTTATGTTGGCCTCATAGAATGAATTCGGGAGTACCCCTGCCTTTTCTGTGGTTTGAAATAATTTGAATAGTACTGGTATGAGCTCTTCTCTGAAGGTTTGGTAGAATTCTCCAGTGAAGCCATCCAGGCCAGGGCTTTTTTTTATACTTTTTTTTTTTTTTAATTGTACTTCAGGTGAAGGCTTAAGGAACAAATAGTTTCTCATGAAACAGTAGTACACATATTGTTTTATGACATTGGTTAACAACCCCACAACATGTCAACC